GCGTTGTACTGTAGTAGCAAAAGTTCAACGGGGTCAACGCACGCGTCCGACCTACAATGTACCTACGACCGTCACTGATTGTTGGACTGGACATGGTATCAAGGGAGTCGTAAACCTACTACTTCCTGGTGCATCTACATGTACATGTACTTGTACTTGTACTTGTAGAACATGTACAACTGTATTGAATTTGATAAGAACTGGCAGATTATTCCAATTTATGCGATTCGTATGCAATTTGCGTCGAATTGTGCGATTATTCGATTTTGGTAGGAATTATGCGAAAAATTATGCTAGCATAATCCGTCAAGGTCTAGTCTGTGTGTCTCTTCTAGGCCCCGGCGGATAATGTATATACAGTATATCTAGCATATTTAGCTCTTTCTGGAAACTAGCATTGCACTAGCATAATCAGCAGGCCGGTTTTGCAGAAAGCTAGCATATTCTTGCGAAAACTAGCATATTCTTGCAAAACATGGGATTTTCGTGAGAATTCACAATTCCCTAGCCCTCGCGATCGCGCGAGGCGGGCATGCAGCCTTGATCATGCATGATGATGATAATGTGGCAGTGCAGACTGCAGTGGTGTACTCTGCAGCCTAGATCCTCTACGGCTCTGCATGTACATGCAGCCTATTTGTAGGCTTTGTAGCTAGTAGTACAATAGGGCTTGAAAGTGCTACGTCACAGCATAGCAACAATTTCAAAAATTCAAAACCTGGATCCACTTGGATCCAGTTTTTGTATGGATCCAAGCATATTTCAAGCCGTCTTACTCACAGCAAGGTGATGTAACCAGTGAAACTGACTGATTTGGCTACTGGGGGCGGGGGCCCGCCGGGGTTACAACTGGTGGCGAAGTAAAAGTCACCCCTGCATACGACAGGAGTGGGTTGCTATGCACCCACATACTGAGGCAATAGCAAAGTCACACCTTAGTGGATCCAAAGTAGAAATCTGATGTCAACTTACTACTCCCAGGCCGTTTTGACGTCATCACTTTCAAGCCCTGTAGAGAGGTTCCGCACATCATATTAAACAGGCTCTTCTCTCACTCAAGTGAGACAGTACCGGTAAGGTGATAAGTAACAAAGTTCAAGTCTAGAATCTGGTGTCACGCAAATCTCGCCTGGCGCCTAACTACATGTACAGGATAGGGCTTGAAAGTGATGACGACAAAAACGGCCAGGGAGTAGTAAGTTTACATCAGATTTGTATTTTGGATCCACTAAGGTGTGACTTTGCTATTGCCTCAGTATGTGGATGCATAGCAACCTACTCATGTCGCATGCAGGTGTGACTTTTACTTCGCCACCAGTTGTCACCCCGCCGGCCCGCCCCCAGTAGCCAAATCAGTCAGTTTCATTGGCTACATCACCTTGCTGTGAGTAAGACCGCTTGAAATGTATTTTGATCCATACAAAAACTGGATCCAAGTGGATCCAGTTTTTGAATTTTAGAAATAATTGTTGCTATGCTGTGACGTAGCACTTTCAAGCCCTATTGTACTAGCTACAAAGCCTACAAATATAGGGCTTGAAAGTGCTACGTCACAGCTGGATCCACTTGGATCCAGTTTTTGTATGGATCCAAATACATTTCAAGCGGTCTTACTCACAGCAAGGTGATCAGTGACGTAGCCAATGAAAACTGACAATAGGGCTTGAAAGTGCTACGTCACAGCATGGTGATGTAGCCAGTGAAACTGACTGATTTGGCTACTGGGGGCGGGGTTACAACTGGTGGCGAAATAAAAGTCACACCTGCATGCGAGATGAGTGGGTTGCTATGCACCCACATACTTAGGCAATAGCAAAGTCACACCTTAGTGGATCCAAAAATAGAAATCTGATGTCAACTACCTCGTTCTGGCGCCCATTTCCTTAAATCCCCTCTCTTCAGTTTATCTGTGGAATGGAACAAATTTCCAGAACACATCCGCTGCGTTCAGTCCTCTGTCAATTTTCGCATTGCTCTAAAGGCTCATTACTCACAGCATAGATATTCTCTGACTGGAATTCCGAACTTTTCCGTTTGAGAAATTTTTTTCCTTGAAATTAATCCTTGCTGGGGTTTTTTTTCATCTAAATGTCCCGCTATTATCTGCAGAGGTGATTTCTTCCCTCGTCGATTTCTTTCCTGCTTTTATACCTCGATATTTAGGTACTTGTTTCCCTTCTTCCCATGCTTCATCTTCCACTCTCCTCTCCCCCATTTTCCCATTTTTCTTGCGATATTTATATGGAAGACTTCCGTGATAAGTAGGCCTTGACAGATTATGCTAGCATAATTTTTCGCGTAATTCCTACCAAAATCGAATAATCGCATAATTCGAGGCAAATTGCATACGAATCGCATAAAATTGGAATAATCCGCCTGTTCGCATCAAATTCCATACAGTTGTACATGTTCTACAAGTACAAGTACAAGTAGATGCGCCAGGAAGTCGTAGGTTTACGACTCCCTTGAGAATATTTCCAGTCCACTACAATCAGTGACGGTCGTAGCTAGGTCGGACGGTGCGTTGACCCCGTTGAACGTTTGCTACAACAGTACAACGCCCACTACAAAAAAATTCCCCTGTCATTTTGCACAGAACCATTATACATTAGCGGCATTATGTGAGCATAATGCGGCATATTATGCTAACTTTCAGCATAAAAATAGCATAATTCTGCAATTTTTTCAGCAATGCGAAATGCATAATTTCACGAAAATATCAGCATAATCTGTCAAGGCCTAGTGATAAGCATCCATTTGCTTTTGGAGAATCCTTTTAAATAAATACAATACAAAAAACTTACTACTCCCTGGCCGTTTTGACGTCATCACTTTCAAGCCCTATTGTACACATAGTGTCAGTGACGTACAATGGCCATCTTCCAGCACAAGTACTACATCTACGGTCATGTAGTAGCTAGTGAACCAGTTACCATGGTTACCTAATGTCCTTGTGACTTCCAGTTCCAGTACTCATGCAAGACTATTGCAATCTTTGTTGCCATCATGAGGACTGTCGATCGGATCCGTACGGGACCAGTCGATTGCAGAGAAATATACACGCAAACTAATTATAGAACTATGTTCGCATCCGACAACACTGGTTCACTTCAAATCTTCAATGTCTAGCCCCAGGGCCTGCCCTCTACTACTTGTAGTAGATCTATGACTCTGGCTGGGAGTCTGGGCACAAGTGTTGGGAAGAAAAAAATGGGTGTACATGAGAAGGCGGAGAGAATGGGAGCGTTTTGTCACCACCAACTTTTTCTTATTATTCTTTGTTAGCTGATGAAGAACACACGTCATGGCTATGTCCGAGCAAGCAGCCAGAGACATTGTTCATCTAGTAAGCAGTAGCGATGATCAGATTCACTTTGATTCCGAGTTTGACAATGAAGACGGCTCAGAATCAGAGTCCGAAGAGGACGAGGTCAGGACAGCGTGTGAACGTCTTCCCGAACCAGCCAGAGCAGCGATTTCCCGAAAACGATCTTTCCAGGGAAGTGGGAAGGAGTCCGTCGCTAAGCGTGGGCGAATTGCCGGTGGAAGTTCCACATTGACACCTCGTGTCAGCGTCCACCATCGCGTGCAGCAATATCCAGGGGAAAGTTTGACCGTGTCCAGTGGGAAGATTTACTGCAGTGCTTACAGCCAGACAGTTCAACGGAAGAACAGCATTCTGAAATCACACATTCGAGCCAAAAGCACAAGACGGCCAAAGAGCGAAAGTCACGAGCCCAGCTACACCAGCAAGTTAACAGCTTCATGGGAGAAGTACACTACAGACCATAATAAGGAGCTGGCAGGAACAGGGCTGTCTGGTGCTGTAGCCAATGATGTCCTCATTCGAAGAGCCAATGTTGTAGAGTCTTTCTTCAAAGCAGGTGTGCCTCTGAGTAAGATAGACCACATTCGTCCGTTGCTTGAAAGCAACTCCTGTCGCATAACGTAGAGCACTCACATGGCACAGTTGGTGCCATGCATGTTGCAGAATGAACAGTCTACCAACAAGAAGGAGATTGCAGCTGCAGCTCATCTCACCGTTATTTTGGATGGTATTTCACGCCTTGGTGAGGCACTTGCTGTTGTCCTCCGCTACGTCGATGGCGATTTCAACATACACGAACGTCTCATACGTTTCTCTGTACTGTCCAAAAGCCTAGCTGGTACCGAACTAGCTCAAGAGCTCATCACAGTTTTGTCAACACAGCTGCAAGTTCCAAGCCACAAGGTTCGTGCCTTGGTCCGAGACTGTGCAGCTGTTAATGGTGTTGCTGTTAGGGTGGTAACAGATCTCCTCTTCCCCAATGTGCTCGATGTCA